ATATATATATATATATATTAACTTTTTTATTATGTTATATAAATAAATAGTCTGAGTTGGCTTTTTTTATAAATTTAAACTTAACCTTTTATATAAATAAACATTTTTTAAAATTTAAAATTAATATTTTTATTAAAAAAGTCAAATAGGGATGACAATGGAACGGGATAGGTACGAGTTTCTCTATATTTATTGTTGTTGTCATCTTTATTTTGTACCCTATATTCATCCTCATCTTCATATCTTACGAATGTGAAATTGGTGTTCTCGTTCTCGTACTCGTCGAATATTGGGTATACCTATATCCACTTTGTACCCATCCAAAAATTAGTTAAATATTGTTTTTTTACAAAAAATATTAAAAAAATAAGAATTTTAAAATAAAATAATAATTACAAAATTACATTAATTAAACTTTATTTAACATAAATTAAAAATATAGTAAGAAGTTACATAAATTATAAGTAAATTCTAAAAAAGTAAGTTACATATTTATAAATTTTAAGCAGGTGTGGATATATACGGGTATATGTGCATATATGTATATACTCATTCCTATTCTCGTACTCGATTTAATGAATTGGATATTACCTTAACCCATACTTGTACCTGTTCAAAATCAGATATTCCCCATCAAAGTTGGGATGAATTCCTTGTTATCCTTAGATACAAGTGTATCATTTTCTTAATTATTTGTATAATTAACATTTTGTTCTAAAAAAAACAATGAAAAAATTACACTCCCCTCTATTTTTTTTAAAGATTACTCTTGATATTCCTTCCTAATTTAAACATATAGTAATACTTCTTAAACATTAAACAAATATCACTTCAAAGATGTGTCATGTGATTGCAAGTGACTTTTGATGAATTTTTAATTTGTAGTATAATTCTTAATTACATATATCTCAAATATACATAATCAAGAAAGAATACGATGTTACAAAAATAAATAAATAATATTTATTTTAAGAATCTACAATATTATTTAAAAGAAATCATAAGTTGACATGTTATTATAGGCTATTGTGAGTGTTACTTGTGGTTATTAGTTAACTTTTTGAAAAACACATAAGTTATTAATAGGAATCACATAATAATAGAAACTAAAATAATATTTTTAAATTTTAAAGAGATAAAAAATAAAAAATTATATTTACAAGAAACTAAATAAAAAAATCTTGTACTTTTTATAGGAAGTAAAAATATATTTAAGTAATTTTTTTTAAAATTAAATAAAAATTAATTTAGAAATAATGTCATTAAATAATATAAGAATAATTATAATTTATTTATATTTTAGTCTATTATACATTATTTTTTTACTTATATTTGAGTAGAGCACTTTCTCTGTCCATTCCATTGAAGAAAAAACTTTGAACATAATGTAAATATTCGTTTTTATATTTTCACAGAGAATTATTTTCTATATTTTTTATATACTAAAATATATCAGTGATAAAAAAAAACACAGAATAAAAGTATAAAATCGATAAACTATAATATATTTTTTTTTATTAAGAGACGGACCACAAGTTAGAAAGACTTTAAAAGCTCGATAAGCTATTTAGATTTTCTAATCACACAAAAAGGTTTTAATCACACAGTTCTGCGATAAACTATTCTAATCACTAATCACACACAAAGACTCTAAAAGGCGCATTCATATTTCTATTTAGTTATGAAATCCGAATTGGGTCAACCGGTCCACAGAACTCTTCGGAGTATTCTTAGTACATACTATTGAGGCCTCATTTTTTGGGCCTTGAATTCGGGCCTAGTATTCAGTTTGCGAATGAAAAAAGAGTGACAATGATATATACACCTCCTTTTGTATATTTTTTTTAAAACAAATTAAACTCCTAAAATATCTTTAATTTTTATAATTTATAATTTTTTAGTTTTACATTTCAACATTTAATTTAGCACTTTTTTCATACTAAAACTACCTATTGATATAAGTAGGAAATTGGAAAAAGATAAAATGATGTATAAAATTACCTATTGATATAAGTAGGAAATTGAAAAAAAATAAGATGATGTATGTGAAAATTTAAAGAGAGAAAAAAAAGGTGTGTGAAAAAGAAGAATAAAATAGTAAATTAAAAACTAGAGGTATAAAATTAAAAAATTAATGAATAAAAAAATTAAAATATTTTTAAATTTTTTTTTAAAAATAAAAATAAAAGAGGTATACTTATAAAAAAAATTGTATATATCAAGAGCCAAGGAGTTGAGCACAATATTCTCTGTCCAAAGCTCAGCATTGTTTATTTTGTAAAGAGTGAGTTTGATAAAAAAACTGTGTTTTGTTATTTATTATTATTTTTTATGTCAGTTGCCTACCTTAATTTCTTCTAAGAAAAGGAAGACATGTCTGACACAATTTTTTTTTTTTTATATATGTTTTCGTCCACCTATTTCTTGAGAAAAAAAAATTATTAGTTTTTCATTATTATAAAATTATTGTGAAAATATTGAAATAGAAAATATGTTTAACTAATATTTGTTTTACATTCCATTTTTTCTACCCATTTATACGTTTTTATTGGAAGTTTAAATTTTCTATATAGCTAATATAAAGTATTTGTATACAAACATTTCATAGAAATTTATTCATACAGACAATATAAAAATTAATGAAATGTACAAAGTGTAAAAGAACTTATTTAGGTAAAAATATTTAAAAATAAAAGACATAGGAAGAGATAAAAGGAAATAATATTGTCCAGTTAAAAAAATAAAACAGTATTCCGCTTTACGAATGAAAAATAAATAAAATAAGTTCAAAAAATGATCATTAACTTGTGTATATTCACGCCGAGATAATGTTCAAGTAAAAAGGTTTTAATATATAAATTCGTTTGAGCAACTTATAAGTTTTTTTTACATATAAGTTCTTTTAATAACTTTATAACTTATATAGAGATAATGTCTGGGTAAGCAAAATGATTTCTACATTAAAAAGAATAAAGAAAGAATTTAAAATAAATTAATGAAGATAAAAAAAAGAAAAAAAAGAACTTAGAAATTATAAACTTTTTCAATTAATTTATGAAATAAACTATAAGGTTTTTAAATTAACAAGTTCTTTTATTAAATAGGTTTTAATCAAATTAGTTTATAAGTTAGTAAAAAAGTTATAAGTTTTTCAAATATTATGTCAAACAATGGCGAATAAATAAGGTAATTAATTTTTTTTAAAGAATTTCAAGTATTTTCGTTTGAAATATTTTATTTGAATAAATAATTTATAAATTAAGAATTTGGAATCCAAACATATACTAGTGCAGTTCCTTAAAATATTATAATTTTAAATTTTCTAAAAAAAGTAAGAATTTTTTTTTCTTTTCCTATCTCCATCTTTTCTCTTTTAAAATTGACATAAAAATATCAATAATTTTTTTAAATATTAAATATTTAAAACTAGTTTTAAAATTATTAAATATTATTTAATATTATTTTAAAAATTATTAAATATTTAAAATTGGCTAATATTTAATTTTATAAAATTAAATTTTAAAATTTCAATATATATTTGCTTAAAATCAATTTTATCCATGCGTGAAAATTAAATTATCCTATCAAAAATAAAATTTTAATATTTTAAAAATAGAATTAACTTGTCCAAATAAAAGACTTTTTAATATAAAAATTGAAACCAAAATAATTCAAATTCTAAAAATTTCAAAATTTTTAAATTTTTTTAAATTTCTCAACTAAACACACCATTGCACATCTTTTGTGGAAGAAACAAAAGAATGACTGAGACACCATTGAGATTTCAAAGAAGATCAACACTCAAAGACTTTAAAAATATTAAGATCAGATGAGGTGGAAAAGTATTTCATTAGCAAGTATGATAAATAGGATTTACATGATCTAAATATTAAGGGCAACCCAAAACCCTATATGAGTTTTGGTATTTGATGAATTAGTCACCTTGGTGATTATATATACTAGGTAAAATAGTTCAGCTTCAACCTAGTGAAATTATATTCTTTTTTGTTATAATTGGATTGTTTAAGTGGATTGCTTCATTATGAATTGGCTTGTTGACACTTAAATTGTTGATATTTGTTTTTTATTGATTGTGTGATTTTATTTAATCAGTCTCATCGAGTGTGTTAAATGCATTATGTTTGGTCTTTCATATTAAAGTTGATTACAAGTAAAAATATGAAATTACTGGCATTTGTTGAGTGGTTAGGAATGATGCTTACAAATGGCTAATAATGCAACAAGTCTTGAGAATTTCAGATTCTTGAACGATACCAAATTTAATACACGATTTTGTGTGGCTACTCATCATTATGTGTTGCACCTGAGGTCTCATAAAGTTAGTTACGTTGTTACAAGGCAGGGAATTTACAGCGGGGTAAAAAAAAACTTGTAGGATACGTTATACAACAATTATCATACGGTAATAATTACAAACCTTGATTTATAAAATTAGAAAATCTTGGCTTCCTGTATTTCTACTCTATTCAATATGCATGAACACAATTTCGTTACTTTCAACTCACAACATCATATAATGTCTGCATGTCGTAACTGGTATTTAATTTAACCAAAACCCACAATCTTTACACTCAAACTATACACCAAAATAGCTTTTATAAATAAATTACAGAAAAAAAAAAAAAAAACTGTCACTGAGTAAGAGCTACATGGTGGCCATGCAACAGGCATCCAAATAAATGAAAATGGTGCAATCATGTTCCGAGGATCAGGAAAAAATTAAGTATAAAAAATTGTATAAAAACACAAGACAAAATACAATAAGAATTTGATCACTCACGGATATTATCTTGTCAGAATTGTTTAAACTGTGACTTAGATCATTTGATGGGGTCAAGCACATAAGCTCTATGGAGAAAGAGGCAGGGCTACTCTGGAAACTCGGCATGAAGATCATTTCCCCAGGAACACATTTGAATTCACCGTGGCTCCATTCCTACATTCATAGAGAGAATATTTGGTTAGTTTATGCTCGGTTCAAATCATATTTGATGTTATGGGCTCACGAGAGATTAGATAAAAGACCCTTCTCTGATCAAATAGTTGGAATTTTGAAGTTCCCGTCTATTAGAATTTTACTTCCTCCAGTTATAATATTTTGCATCTATTAGTTACTACATGTTAGACAGAAATAGGAATTCATATTTTGGAATCTACAAAGTTATGTGATTTCTATAAATTTTAATATAAGAACGTGTTGGAAATCGTATTGCTAGCATTTTCGCATAGGGTAATATCATCTTAATCTCATCAAGGATTTAACTTTAATGCACCCGTCATTATAAAGCGTTTACACCTATTATACCATGTATGATCAAATCACTAAACAAATTTGACTATCACAATTGCTACCAGTCTAACATTTTTGATCATGTGTTCATACACAATTACGTAATAGTATAAAAATCTTCAACGCTCACAATACACAATTACGCTAAGTAAGAAATTTTTTTACCTGTAGTTGTTTGCCAACAGTGACAACTATATTCTCTGGACCTGCATCAAATGATAGGGGACCTCTTTCAGTTTGGACGTAAAATATACACTGCTCCATAGGAAGGTAGAAGCGCAAAGCATGATCACATAATCTGTCTTTTTTCTTAACCGAGACGTCTTCATTTTGCTTGCGGGCATTATCGTGCGGATACCTGCACAAGCAAATCACAGACTCTGTATCTTGAATCCGCTCCTTAAACTCTTTAGATGTGTTATGTTGTAGAACCATAATCACTTGCTCAACTATACTATCCAATCTACTTGCAACATTCCCCATATGAATCCTGCATGATGATATATAAAATAAGTTAGAACCTTGTCCCACTCCATGCAGTAGATTAATAAGTAAAATAATAATTAGTTTGGTACCCATTTCAGCGGAAAATATTAAATGAGTAATACAATCTTAGCTTGCTAAACATCATCTAACACTAGAAAAAAGTAACACAAATAAGTAGCAATATAAGTTTGCTGAAAATAATTAAGATGGCACCTAATCAAATAATAAAAATTAATTGTAATGTGATGTGTGTGTAACGTTTTTTTTTTTGAAAGTATGTGTACATGTATCGTTTTTTATTTCATATAAAGTTTATCATTCAAATTTTACAAGTATTTATATAATGAAAAACCTATGATAAGAAATTAATTGTTTAAAATAAATTTAATCATTTATAATAATGTTTTGTTCCTGTTAATTTATTTATGAGAATTGAATTTAATACCAACATACAAACACAACTAACTGAACTAAACACCATTCGTAAATATTTTACTGCGTGTACTATGAATTTGACATCTTACACATGCTTTTCCTCTTATGGAAATGTGAAAATTTTATCAATGTAATGCAAACACACTAAAAGATTAATTAGCATTAAATTTCATAATTTAGAACCTACCAGTGTTTTTAAACTAAGGCACAATTTAATTGTTTACTATTTTAAAAAATTGTTTTCTATTATCTAACATGTTTGTCCACTTACATATATTTGAAAGTATTTATTTTTTGAGTACATTTTTTTTACTAAAAGTTTATCCCCTTAAGCACCTGAAGAAAGCATTTGAAGTAAAAAATAGAAGATAAAGTATCCCTCAGTTTTTTGTTAGCTTTTAGAGCATTTGTTTTGGATTTTTTTTAAAGGTTTGATAGATTTTAGATGAGAAATTGATTACCGAGTAGAATGAAACTGTTTTAACTAGAAAATGGTCATTAAAATAAAATAAAATGTGGAAAAAAAAATCAACAACCACTAAATGATCAATACGAAATAAAGAATAGTTTATTCTTTTTAACATGCATGTACCTACAAAAAAAATAAATAGAAAGAATGTGGAAGGTGTTTTGATTCAAACTTAAAAAAATAGAAAGAAAATGTAGAAGTTAAGTTGACACAAGCTTAGAAGTAGATTTTACATGCTCTAAAAGTAGTGGAGACTGTAACAATGATAAAGTAAAGTATTATATGTCAAAAAGAAGAAAAAGTAGTATGCATGCAAAGATGGTGGTGATCCGGTGGAGAATATAACTAGCTGAAGCCACTAAACTTATACGGTTAAAGCAAGCAGAATACACATACATATACGTATAGACCGTACGTGAAAAATTTCATGTTCATCATAATCCAAAAGTAAAAAAAGTCACGAAATGAAACAAGCGAGAATTCACGATAATTGCAAACTCGATAACAAAACGAAGAGCGTGTATGTATGTATGTATGTATACCAAAATTTCCGATTCGTTTGGTCGCCGATAATCCTTTGAGCGGTGAATTCCATTGCACCTTTGCTGGAGCGGACACAGGGAATCACCTCTCCGCCAGGTCCGGTACGCTCGACGACGAGCCTCTTCGATTTCTGGAAAACGCATTCAGCTTCGTCCGCCATCGTCGAAAGTTCGATGCCGGAGATCCCGTGGCACCGGATCCGGAACGCGCCGAACTCCCTGGCGGAGCGCAGCATCAGATCGGCGGCGCCGAGCGGCAGAGACCGGAGGTCGATCTCCGCCGGCGCCGGCGGCAGGTGCTGTCCTGGCAGCGACAGCTCCGGCAGCTGCAGCCTCTTCTCGAGGAACCGGCTGAAGATCTCGTTGGCGGCGGAGCGCGTCCCTCTCCCGGTCGGAATCGGCGACGGCAGCGGCGCCGGAATCTGGCTGTTGCAGCGCGCGATCGGCATTGCGACGGCAACGACGTCGTTCAAGGTCACCACCGCGTTGGAATTAGATGAACCGAGAGTTTCAGAAGCGAGAAGAAAACGGTCATGAAAGAGAATGAGAATTTCAGAAGCGATAAAATGGCGAGGACGTCGTTTGCTTAGGCTGCGATTCTGCGAAAGTGTTTCCGATGAATCATTATCATATAATCATGGGTGATGGAGCGTTGCGACGGTGGCGACGACGACGTCGTTTTTGCGAGAGGAGAATGAAGGAGGATTGCAATGGCGATGATGATGGTTGGAGTTGGAACTTAGAAAGGAGGTTTTTTCGAAGGCTGAAATTGGAACGCGAGGGACCCTCTCGTTGTTGGTTGGTAGGTGCACTTCATTTCGCGTGGGGAGCACGACTTTCGAGTTACGTGCTTCCCTGCAACGCAGGTCTATCTTTTATCATCCACCTGCATCTCGTGTGGCGCCACGTGTGTTTCGGACAAAAGTTGGGTTGGCCATGGGGGTTCGTAGCGCGGATTTTCGGTGGGTGTTGTGGCGGCGGAGCGCGTCCCTCTCCCGGTCGGAATCGGCGACGGCAGCGGCGCCGGAATCTGGCTGTTGCAGCGCGCGATCGGCATTGCGACGGCAACGACGTCGTTCAAGGTCACCACCGCGTTGGAATTAGATGAACCGAGAGTTTCAGAAGCGAGAAGAAAACGGTCATGAAAGAGAATGAGAATTTCAGAAGCGATAAAATGGCGAGGACGTCGTTTGCTTAGGCTGCGATTCTGCGAAAGTGTTTCCGATGAATCATTATCATATAATCATGGGTGATGGAGCGTTGCGACGGTGGCGACGACGACGTCGTTTTTGCGAGAGGAGAATGAAGGAGGATTGCAATGGCGATGATGATGGTTGGAGTTGGAACTTAGAAAGGAGGTTTTTTCGAAGGCTGAAATTGGAACGCGAGGGACCCTCTCGTTGTTGGTTGGTAGGTGCACTTCATTTCGCGTGGGGAGCACGACTTTCGAGTTACGTGCTTCCCTGCAACGCAGGTCTATCTTTTATCATCCACCTGCATCTCGTGTGGCGCCACGTGTGTTTCGGACAAAAGTTGGGTTGGCCATGGGGGTTCGTAGCGCGGATTTTCGGTGGGTGTTGCTGTAGCTAAGTTTTAACTGCCAACTGATTTTCATGGTTTTTTTTTTTTTTTTTTTTTTTTTTTTAAGATAAAAAAGATTAGAAAGATGCTTTTAATTACCCCCAACCACTTCCTTCCTGACTCTGAGCAACGTAAAGTAAAAAAAAAAAAAAAAAAAAAAAAAAAAAAGGCTGCAGTTTTGTGTCTGTCATGGGCTAAAGGACCTAGCTTCTTTCTTGCTTTTGTGCTTGGGCCCCCAAAAAGAAAACTAATAATAATGTGGACCGAAAGAAAAAAGATACTAGCTAATACTCAAAATTATATGACACTTTTATTAATTTGGACCAGAAAGAAAAATAGAAAACCAATAAGTCAAGCAAAGGACGGATTTTATTTTTCAGTTGAAAAATACCTAATAGTTTAATTAAACGAAACAACATCTTCCCTGTTGTATTGTAGAGTTGATATGCAAATTGAGTCAACTTTGAAGTGTTTGTACATTGAGCTCCATAGCTGAGATTCTGTGAGTTGTAGCAAATTTTGTTCTTGTTGACATCTTTCTTTGTGATTGTTAATAGGATAAAGATTGATTGACATTCTTAGAGTGTACACAACCTTAGAAAGAAAAGAAAAACAAAGAAAATAGAGAGAAATAAACAAAAATGATTAATGATATAATAGATAAATAAGATATAAGTAGAGAAAAATGTATTCTATGTGTAAAAAATGGGGTGTTAAAAGAACTATTTTTTAATAGAAAGAACTACTACCATTATTATTATTATTATTATAATAAAATGTACTTATTTTGTAAGTATTGTTCTCAATAAACTTAGCATGTAATGTAACTTCATGTAAGTTATAAGATTATTTTTTCCTTTTACAAAGCAAGTGTATTATTAATGAGAGACAATCTTATTCTAACCTATAGAATATTATATTATGGATCACAAATTATAGTCATCACTAAGTATTTAATGTAAGTGTATATTTAAAACTAAAATTTAAAATTAATAGTTAAATTTAAATAAATTTGTGTGATTTGATATAAAGATATAGTTTGAAATAAGGTATCCCAATTCATTAAAAAAAAACAAATATTTTATTAAAAATATATAGCTTGAAATAAGGGTGTTCTAATTTCATTGAAAAAATATTTTATTATGTTTTTTAAGTATGTCATTGATATTTTTATTATGTATTATCGAAGTATTAAGTAATTTTAAAATTTGTTAAAGTTTGTAAATTTGATTTATATATTAAAAATCTTTAATTTAACGATTAATCATTAAAATTTGACGTAAAATATGAATTATTGAGTAAAATAAATGTAGGTTCATTTTATTTATATATATATATATATATATTATTTTCTTTATATTTTATTTTGAATGTAAGATAAATAATTGATTAACTGATTGTTAAACATATTTTTTAATATTTATTTTAAAAACAATATTCAATATTTAGAAAGTGATAAGAAATTAAACTGTTGATAAAGATGTGTCGATCAAAGAATCATTAAATCTAATTTAAATTGCATTTTATCTTATTCGATCGAAAGGCTACCAAATCGAATCTGCAAGTTGTTCTAATCTTTGTATAAGATAGTTTCTTTTAACTCAAAATCAATCTAAATGTTTACGTATATGCTAATTTTTTTTATACATAAAAATAACGTTGATAATAATATGTTCAACCTTAAAATTTTGTATACATTATTCTAATCTCTCGTTACCAGAGTGACTCTAATGATTCAAACACTTCCAATTTTAAAAAAGTAGCCAAAATTTTTTGTTCTAAACAAACAATAATACAAAACTTCATAATAACAATGCAATATATTATTATTGGACAAGATTCAGGGGAAAATTATTTGTTTAGACTTGAGAGTAAAAATGAAAATTGAAAAATAGATGAAAAACATATTTAATTAATCCCAACAAAATGATTGTTTCTTACAAAATCTAGTTGCACATCCAAAACTGTGGTGCTTGGAAGGTGATTTCTTGAGAGACTACCATTAACAATTAACATGCATCATTCATCATTCATCATTCATGATAATATATAAATCAAAAGCACTCTAGTGGCAGCCAGAGTCCGAGACAAAGAGCATGCAGAATTTGACAAAAACAAACCACATGGTCTTATCAAATACACATATATCCATTATACACATATTGGCTTTGCAAAACAAGAACAAGAACAACAAAAGGCAGAAATCATCAGAAACGAAGAGCTTCTTTGATTCTTACTCCGAAGCTTCATTCAACCACGTAAGCACCCACCTCTCACGGGATGCCGGAACCCGATGTTCTCAACGGCGCCAACAGTGTTGAACAAGCGCCTCTTGTACTTGTAAATCTCCTCCAACATCGACCGCTGAAGCTGCTGGCTCCTCCGCTCATGCGGGCACGACCGGATCCTCGTCAACCTCGGACACGCGTGGCTCGACCCTAACATGCACCCACGAGACGACTCCATTCTCGTTGGGTAGTAAAACTGTCTCGCCAAACTCGCTTCTGCTGATTCTTCCCCACCACGGTATGATAATGCTGTGCACTTGTTGCGTTGATCGCTTCTGTCTATTGCTGTTGTTAACCCGTGCTCGTCTTCGTTCCCGGGGTCGCACAATTGGAATGTTGAACACTTGAAGGAGTTCACTGAGGTTTGGGAGCTTGTGTCATCGTTCACAAACTGATCATCTGCCAAATGTTCATGATGGAAGTGAATTATAATACTTATAATTGAAATTGAAAGATAAAGGAGTAGATAGATTTTTTTGTTTGTTTCATCGAAATTGAACTCAGTATTAAAGACACTATCTAATCAATTGAACTAGATGTTATTAGAAGGATTATTGAAAAAAATTTAAGTAACACATCAACTAGAGATTAGGCAATTAAATAGTATATAAGTGAAAAATAATTCTCACCCTATAAGTCGATTTTGTAGGGTTAAATTAGAGTTAAATCTATTGTTGTAAGATGATATCAGAATCATCATAGATCCTTAAAAAGGACCACCTATTCTAGATCATTAAAACAAAGGGTCATCCACCATTTATCTACATACTAAGCCCAATAGTAATGGACGTAAGGAAATGTATTGGGAAAAGTTCAAGTCTCATATCGACTAGAGTTTAGGTAATTAAATAGTATATAAGTGAAAAACAACCCTCTCCTTACAAGTCAATTTGATAGGGTTGAGTTAAACTTAAATCTAATCTTCTAAGAAGGATATTTACTTCTCTATTGTATACGATGTTAATTTGTTATATACAATATTTACAAACTTCTGCATGCATACAAAATATTTAGTCAAAGGTAAAAGGAGTAGGTACCTTGAGGCCATTCTTGAGTAAATGGGTAAAGGTTCCCACGAACACGGGTCTTGAAGGAGTTGGAAGCAGACATGTGGCCAGATCCGCGAGGGGATGATGGAGAAGATGATAAGAAGAAAGGATGATGGTTATTGGCATCATCATCTTCTTCGTAGTTAAAGCTGTACTGTCGTTGGTGGTGACACTTAACCCTGTCCCTCCAAGTTGGAACTAGAGCTGATACCTCATGATCTATCATTGCAGCAATCTCCAGTGGTTCCAAGTGGCTTATCTCAAGTTCTTGTACCATCTCCATCGCCACCTGTATAGCCGTGTCTTTTAATGTGTCAAATGGGAAGAACACGTGCCTTGTGTGCCCTGTGTTGGAAATAAAATTTTTATGTTAAGAGTTAAATGTTGTAAGGAGAAATTATTAAATGATGCTAAACTATTATGGTCTTGTCAATTTTTTTTGTTGAGTTTTATTAATTCTTTCTCGTTGACCGTCTGATGGAATCATGACTAAGTGCATGTTTGATTTTGCGTTAGAGATCCACGTTATATCTTAAAACCACATCAAGAAGAGGAAATTCGTGCAGAAGTCTGAATTGCTTCCTATTGACCCACGTTCGAATGTAGTTGACGTGTTTTCAAACATGCACTATTAAGTAGTCCTAGGCTATGGAATAATTTTTCATGTTGTAAGATAATATAAAATGTGGGATGAAATTGTGCTTAGTTGCATACCCATTTTGTCAGATATCCGCACTTTAAGGAAAACAGTGTTGTCCTCTTCATTTATTGAGCCAGTGATTGTCATATCCGCGCTCTTTGTTTGATCAAGATGCACACCGGGAAATAGTGCAATGGAATTAAGCTTTAGTGTTTGATTTGGACACAAGGGTATGCTTGGTGGCAATGGTATTTCAAGTTGGTCCATGGCTAAAAATGGGTCCAACAAGAGCTCCTTCGCTGATGGTCTCTCTGAGACATTTGCCAAACATTTTCCCACAAACTTCTGGGCTTCCAAATCTTGGATTCTGTAAAACGCTTCAGGTAGCTTCCCCTGGTACATTAAATTAGCCAAAGTTTGTGAAATTAATTAAGACATGTTGAACGAAAGGGAGCATTAGAATAAGAAAGTGTCCTAGTCCAATTAAGCTTACCGAAGTAACTTTCTTGTATATTTGAGCTGGGTTGGCGCACTCACTGTATGGGAACTCAAAAGTAAGCATCTCTATCATGCACATACCGAAGGAGTATATATCTACCAGCTCGTTGTACTTCTCTTCATACAGTTCTGGTGCCATGAATTCTGGTGTGCCTGATGGTTTACATCAAACATAAAATTTCAGTTTTGTAGAAACTGATCATGCACAATTTAGTCCTTGACAGTTAAAAGTTGCTTTGGTTTTTGAAAGTTTTCATTTATACAAATCAATCCTCTGATAGATGAAATTGTTTATAAGTTGATAGTGCATGTTTGGTTCATGTTAAATCATGTAAAGTCACGTTGAAATACTATCTAAAATAGAGCAAGAGCATTACCTATGACACTGTGGGCATGTTGGGAGCTACGAAGTATAGCTGCCAGGCCTAAGTCACCAATTTTGACCCTACCCTGATGGCCATTGACAAATATATTGTCACACTTGAGATCTCTATGTATTACAGGAGGATTATGGCTGTGTAAATACTCCAAACCACTTAGAATCTGGCGAGCCCAATTCTTAACTGCTCTGATATCTACTCGTTTATACTTCTGCCTGTACCTATAAAAATAACATGTAGTATTTTAACAAAAATATAATATAACCTATGAAATATAGATTCTCAATTATTAAGCTACATGGGTTAGTAAACATGGTTAAGGGACTGATTGATTACTCTCTTAGGGTGCCGGAGGTGAACAATTCAGTGATGAAGTTGAAGGTTCTGTTGTTGACATCGATCCAAGAACCATAGAAGATCATCATAGATTCATGGTCTAGGTGCTTAAGGAGATGAACCTCTGAATAAAGGCGCTGAAGATGCTCTGGTGAGTGAAAGACATCACCAAGCTTGACTTGGTTCCAAGCCACTTCAATCCCTAGTAACTCATCAAATGCCCTATACACAGTCTTCATTGCTCCCTTCCCCAGAATATCCCTGAACTACAAGAACCAACAATCACAATAGTACAACTGAATTAGACAATTAGATTAATCAACATGTAACAGATCACATTAATACTTAAACATAACTATGGATTGACCATCAACCAGTTATTTTGCATCCTTATAGAGTCACCCCAGAACAAAACAGTTAGTTAAACTTGTGTGGAGAAGAACCACATGGAATGTGTGAAAAGTGAGTGTCATGCTAAATTGCTAACAAGCCTAGAACCATCCCCCCTTTTTATAGGGGAGAGTAACCATGTTATTGATGTGAAATATCTACTAGCTTTATCAATGATTAATCTCTAATGAAAACTTAACTAACCATTTTTAGTAGAGTATCTCTTCCTAATCACTTTTTTTCTATTCACAAGACTTGAACACGAAATCTTATTTAAGGAGATTGAGTCTAGTTCCACTTAAATAGAATAATCATTTTTTATTAACATGTAAGTCAAGTTCTCTATCCTCAAACTTTTTAACCAATTATCAATATCATAAATGAAATTCACACAAACAACTCTACTTCATTGCTCAAATTGGCTAATAATAAAATTATAGAAGTACATCAAAAATAAAATTAACTTCCATAAAACACATTACTGCTGTGTCATTAAATTACTCCTTTGTATATAAAAAACCAAGTATTTGAATTTCCCATGCAATTTAGAAGTTTTAATTCTCAATTTCAAATTGAACATCAATTAAGCATTTATTGGCCCATAAATAGCAACAAATTCATCATCAATTCATTTCCCAACAACTTTTTATAAAGGTCATGTTACATGGCTAGCTGAGAAATGTTACACAACAATACATAGTAAGATGAGAAATGAGAATCCATCAAAAACACTTACTCGCCCATATCGACCAGATGGATCAGTTTCAACATAACCAAGCTGAGCCTTAACTCCACCACTCGTGCAGAATCTCCCCTTGTACATGGCTGTATTGATTGTATCAGGCAATTCCATGTCTAACAACTTTTCTGACTTAAGCCCGTGCTATGCTTATTATGTATAGCCACGAGTACTAATAATAATTTAGCAACAAAAGAACATAGTTATATAGAACCTCAAGCTGATTTAGAAAGCGGGTGCTAGATGATACGAAGCTTCCACTACATGGTTCTCGTGCAAGACACCAAATAACAGCCAGAAGAGGCTTCTTGAGTAGTCAACACTAAGCATTATTAACCACGTCATTTCAACAGCTCCACGTGAAAAACCATATAGGGGCATGTTAACTACTGGTTCAACAGTGTCAAGAGGGAGAAAACACAGAGACAGAGAGACAGGGAGAGATAACACTCCTCAAGATTTTTTGGAAGATAAGAGGACAAAGAAACCGTTTGGTGTAAATCAGACACGAATAATAAGTTAATAATTGTGTGAGTTGCAAGCCGGAATGAGACTACACCAGAGAGTGTGAATTGTGAGCCAAAGGGTTGATTAATCGATAGCTGGAGGCAGCCTTGGTGTTAAAGATAATGGAAGACAAAGAGGGTATGAATAGTCGCTGAGAAAATGAAAAGACAAAATAAGGGACGTAGGAAGGAAACATGGAGATTTATGAACTATACATTTGGAGATCCACATCAACCAGTGATAAGAATAAAATAATGCATATAAGTGATAGTATTTCTCATGTTAAGAGCTGATTTTGTAAGGTTCAGTCAAGTCAGATCTACTTTTTCTCAAGATGGTATTAGAGAGTCTATTCACCAGTGTTGGGGTTATAGGCCATCCGCAAGTGTTTAATCGTCAAATTTTACATTCGATATCAAGTTTTGTTGAGTTTATTAGGCCACCTATATATGTCTAATCTTATAAATTTCACGTTCAATATTGGATCTTTGATGTGAGGAGCATATATTGGAGTGCATATGTCGAGTTCTTCTAATTTCAACTTGATTTTCAATCTAACATAAAGGTGTATGTTTGAAATTGATCGATGATAAGTACAAAATAGTGTATATAAAAGTCAATTTTGTAGGATTAATTGTATCTAGTTTTTACATGAAATGTAATCAAGTTTTATTAATTTTTTCACTTAAATTAAATAACTTACATGTCTTGTGGTGATTAATTAGTTGATACAATGAATGCTTAGTAGTTATGGACTATCTAATAACTTCTCATAAACATGGCTGCAAAATTTCGAGACCAATGGTCATGCTTTGAATAAAACATTTGTGGATAGGAGTGTTTGGATGTAAAAAATCGGATTAGAGTATGTGAGAGTAAAAGTGTTGAAGATTTGTGATGTTGGTGGAGAAAGGAACAGGAGAGGGGATACCAACTTTGGATATGTGAATTGTAGAGTGCAGGAGTGGTGTATGTATTATTCAACTGTGTGGAATGTGGACTACACGGGTGGGGAATTTGGTTGTCTGTTTCAAGTGCTTTCCTTAAGCGACAGGTGACGGCTCCCTTTGTCCTGGTCCTGATTGAAGTCGAGATGTTTAAGTAATGTTGTTGTCTAGATTGTTTAAGTGCAAAAATCGATAATGATTTTTAGTTTGCAAACTTAGATTTCTTAATCTAAGATCCATTTTTGACTTAGATATAAAAGTACTACTTTATCTTATAAAAGTCAACTTAGCAAAAAAGAGTTATACATCTTTATTAATATACCACTTGAATAAAAAATTATTTGAGTTTAGAATTAAACAACTCAATTTATTCTCCTTGATTTGAATTGGTGGGTCAAAAAAAAAAAACAGTATTTATGGATCCGATTTTTTAAAAATTTAAATCGAATCAATCTATTTTATAAAAGTAAATTAATTAATTGATCTATTTTCTAATATTTTTATAATATGGATCAATTATTTTGAAATTAGGTTAGTTTGGTGCGATTATGCATTTTATACTTATATATGAATTAATTTTTTTAAAAAATTAAATCAAATTAAACTTATTCATTTTGTGTAAAAATAGATTAGATAATCAAGCCAATTTTACAAAATGAATTAATTCAAATTTTTTCTTAAAATAAATAATTTTTTTTTGATATGAATCGATTCAATCATGAATTAGTTTGAACCGATTTGAATTTCTCACACTTAAGGACAAAAACCAGTGATATAATTGGTCTAAACCAAAATTGGATCGGCTATACTGAGCAATATATACCTGGATTGAAGTGGTTGGTTTCGGGGCAAACCAGTGACTTGTGGAAATTTTGAAACTATTTGTACAATGTTTTTTTAATCATAAACTCTTCATCGAATAAATGTTCATTTTGGTGTTGTTCCATTAACTTATTTTGATTTAGGACTAATTTTAGTGAGTTTAACTTTAAAAACTCGACCCAAGAGCTTTTTAAGCATCGGTTCAAGTTTGAACCATCTCAACTTAATCTAATATATTTGTTAAAATTTATATTTTTTAACAACTTTATATCAATAACAAAACTTCTTAATTTAATAAATAATATCTAGTATAACAAGATATCAATATAATTTAGTTAAAAATATATATTATTATAAAATATATCAATTTTAGTTTATAAACTACATGAACTACGCGCCGCGAACCTATATATTCTAAGATGCATAGTTTTAAAAACCGGATCGGTCATCGAATCGATTAAAGTACTAGGTTAGTGGGTCAAAGGTTGAACCGGTTGGTCACTTTTTGAACTGCATGACTCGATTTTTATTTATTTTTATTAAAAAAATATTCATATTAAATATATTTTATACTTATAAATTTTAATAAATTCATATCTTATTTTAAATTTTAATTTTTCTATCTTATTTAAAATTATTTTTATTTTTATTTTGTAAAAAAATACATAAAAAATTACATGTTAAACGATATATTAATACAAATTAAAAATATAAATAATATGTACATATATAATATGCTTTCAATTGATATTACAAAATAATATATGTAATATCTACATAGATATTATATTATTAAATATATAATTTAAAATTAATAATATACTATAAAAGTTATTTAAGTTGTATATATTACAAATAAATACATTAGAACAAGTAGTCATTGTTATATTTAATAAGACTCTTTGCTCTTCCATTAAGAGATTCAATTATTATTATTATTTTTGTGGTTTATGGTCCCTTAAAATTTTTTTAAAAAAAATAAGAAAAAAAAGTGGTTGAACCGGTTTGACCCACTGGTTCACTGGTTGAATCAGAAAATTGACCGGTTTAATCCAGTTTGAAATGGGTCGATTGCATAACCGATTCAACTTAAGATTTGGACCGACTGAACCACCGGTTCCCGGTCCAACCAGTCTGACCGGCCGGTTTGATCCGGATTTTAGATCACTGCTCAGATGTATTGTTATTTAAGTCTTTTAAAAATGGATTAAGCTAGCTATTTAAAAAAAACAAATAAATGATAACCTAGTACAAAAATTGTAGTGAATATCCTTTTTTTTTTTCTTTCAATTTTTCGTACATACATAAGATAATGAGTGAAGATATATGATAATTGATTGTGATTTGGATGAGTACGAAGGTGGAAATTAAGAAGGCTACCTTATTGCCTAACTTGTCCTCAAGTGTAGGCGTGTTTTCTATTTTCCTTGTGGCTTGGATATATCTTGAGGACATTGAATGAGAACAAAGGAGTAATAACATTTTTAATGATGAGTATTTGCTCATTTTTTCTTGACCAGATAAATAGTTTGATCTGTCATATTCGATCACCAACTGGCTTCAGCTTTTTTGCTTAATTTGCTACCTGGTGGCAATAATAGAGCTAATAATAATGCCAGTGTCATCACACAGTGACAACACTCAATGGCCATATGGCTTTGCATTGTAGTTGTCGGTGTCATCACAAACGTTGGATTTCTCTTTGCCTGTTGCTTGCAAAAGCGGTGACAACGGTAGCTGCACCATGGAGATTGGAGGAGCACATTGCCACAGCACAAAAGTATACACAGACAGAGTAACACAAAACACCGCACCTTCTATGCAATAATCACACTCACTCGTTTGTTGGGATACAAGTAAAGTCCTCAAACAAGAGAATAGACATGGATTTATATACACATAGTTATCTCTATTGGTTGAGAGGTCTTTTGGGTGATGTCCAAAAGTGAGGACTTGGTCTCAAAGCGGATATCTCACCAATATGGAGACATGTGTATATAACTATATATGTGGTAACCCCTCGATACACAACAAGTGGTATCAGAGCCGATGGTCTGATTAGGTAACGGGCTTGACGAGTATGATTCTCCATTGATTGAGAGATCTTTTGGGTGATGTCCACAAGCAAAACCGTGAGGGCTTAAGCCCAAAGCAGACAATATCTCACCAATGTGGAGATATGTGTATATGTGTGGTAACCCACAACAAGTGGTATCAGAGTCGATGGTCTAATGAGGTGACTGGCTTGATGAGTATGATTCTCCATTGGTTGAGAGGCCTTTTGGGTGATGTTCAAACGTAAAACCGTGAGGGCTTGAACCCAAAGCGGATAATATCTCACCAATGTGGAGACATGTGTATATGTGTGGTAACCCCCCTCGGTGCTCAACATCGTTTAGGGACCACTCATTTAGGGACGACAACGGGCGGGTCGGGTATGGATTTCATGATACCTATATCGTTTTCGCAATTCAAACTCATTTTCGTATTTGAACTCGTACTTGTCAAGTATATTATTTTTGTCCTCATCCCCATCCCCGTTGAATATCAGGTATATTCGTATCCGTATCTGTTAATTTTTTTATAAAAAAATACACAATATTTTAAATTATTTTTTTTATTATATTACAATTATAATTAGATTATTTCTCTCTCATATTTTAAGTAAAAGACTTCTTAATAATTAAATAACTATAAATGTTTCACATTATAATAAGTAATCACACATAATAAAATATTAAAATTTTTAACACAATTAAATCGAGAGTAAGTATTAAACTCGGGATGAGGATGAATAAGTATATACCTGTACCCGGTTTAATATATCGGATTATACCCGTATGCATACCCGTACATGGTTAAATAAGGTATTCTCTGTCAAAGTCGGGAAAGGTTCGAATATTATCTACAGGGAATAGATTTATTTGTCATCCCTACACTCATTCCTATTTCTACAAATAATAAAAATCTTAAATCAATAATAAAACTAAAAAATAATTCAATCAAATGATATTTTTTTCACACCAAACCAGTTGGGCCGTGATGGAGTCTCACGCGGACCATGGGTCGGCCCAATAAGAAAAAACGACACCACCGGAGCCTCGACCCGAAAGAAGAAGCTCCAAAAACGGATCGGGCCAGAGTGATGATAATACGACAGAGTGAGTCAGAGTTCGAAACGCGAAACGCTGAAGCTGAGTTGGTAGCCATGGCTGCAGCAGCTACCGCGAGACCGCTTCTACAGGTGTCGTTTTGGCTTCTGTTGCTGTCGTTTTTCTCGATCGCTCTCGCTTACAGACCCGGCGACATCGTTCCCATGAGCCGCATGGGTCAATACCACTCCGTTCGTTCCCATTTCCCTTTTCGCTCTCTGCGATTTTCTCTTCCTCCCGTACGGCGGCGTTTCATCTCTCACTTTACTTTCTACTTTTGCTATTGCAGTCGCGAACCGTCTGGCAGGACCTCATTGGCCGCCACTGCCCCATCTTCGCAGTGAATCGTGAGGTCCGAATCTTCTGAGTTCCTTCAATTAGGGTTTTCTCAATTTCTTTATTTATCTATTTTTATTTATTTATAATTGTTTTTGCTGTTAGGAGTATTGCGATTTTTAATTGATTGTGTCTTCGGAATTGGCTTTGTAGGTGTTGATGCCCATTCCCAAGCCCACGGGTTACACCGGTGCTGATCCTTATAAAATGTGAGAATTTTTCTTCTGATGTAATGTAATGTGTCTTTTGCTTTGATCTGATTTTTATTCAACTGTCTGAATTTGCTTAAATTAACTAGGATAAAATGGCCTCTTTGTTTTATTTGTATTTTCACCCTCCTAAAAAACAAATCTCATAAGGTTTTTCAATGATAGCTTAAGTTAATCCAAACACGTACTTGATAAGAAGTGATTTGAAGGAAAAAGGGTTTTGATTTTCAAATGCATCAGTGCCGGATTAACGCTCCCGTGAATATGTACTGGGGGGTTTGTACTGTGAGTGGCTCGTTGTGAAATGAAGATTTTGTAACGATAGTCATATTCTCTGTAGAGTGAATGGGGCATGTTTGATTGGTTTTTTGATTTGCGGAATTATTAAAGCTGGAAAAATAGATAAAAGGAAAATTCTGAAGATACAGTGTGGCTGAATCTAAGCCTTTGGAATTTTCACTACATAAAAATGAGCAGTGTGATGGTGATTTTGTTATAGTGGAGTGGTGAGGGAACTGAGGTTGGAATGATTGGCGCGTGGATTGGAATTATGGGAATAGTATATCATATTCTAAACACAATGAGATGAAATTGTGCTATTGTACCGGTTATACCATACAAGGGGATTGCATTGTCGTTATATGATTCTATTTGGTTGGCCCTGCCCCTTAAATTGCCGGAGAAAATGTGCTTATAGTTTTCTTTATTTTAATTTATCTGCAGATCATTTCAAGTTGGGAGGGAAAAATTTTTAATCCCGTGGCTTCTTGTGGTGAATCGGAAAAGTACAGAGGTTCCAATGATTGAAGTAGATCTGGTAATGCTGTGCCCCAGATAGGTCATGTACATTGTTCAGTATATTCAGTTAGTGTACTGGCTTGTATGAGTTCATGAATGCTCCTGAATCATATAACAGCAAAATTTTTTGCTAGGAAATTAATTGATTGGAATTTTAATGTCATGCAGAGGTATTCAGGAAGTGATTTGCATGGTGTCACAGCAAAAGTTGTGGATATGCCTCATCACTGTATGTTCTTCTCTAATCATAGTTTTACAACATCATTAATTTCTTTACATAGAGGCTGATAATGGGGTTGTGACATGCTTCAGTTTATTTTATTTTCAGAACTTTGAAAATGAAAGCATTATTCTTAGCTTACATATGTGATCTTTTGTTAAGATTCTTCTGAAATGTGTTGGAAATGTCAAGGACTGTGCTTGTAAATTGTTTGTGAATCCTTATTTAATGTTCCTGAATTTTATTTAAAATTTGGCATCATTTTACCCTTTAAACCTTCTTTTCCCCCCAATTTTATGTTTATCAAACTTTACTTCTTTCTTTTTATGAGGTGACCATTCTACTATGATTTTTTTTGACCTAGTTTGTACAATTTAAGTTGTCATTTGGCATATTCATTTACGGATGTACCCATATCTGTATTGTAGATTCTCTCTTATTCCACATGTACAAATGTTATTAGTGAAGACATTTTTATTTTCTTTTTCTTACCTAGGTCTGAAGGCATTCCATTCTTTGTTTTTGAGAAACATGTAGTTAGTGACTTAGTGTTGACAAATATTGCAATATACTTGCAATATTGATAGTTAAAATTGATTTCTGTGGAAGCTGTATATTCTGTAGAAGTTGCCTTTCATAATGAATTATAACTAAGTTGATACCTTGTATTTTGATGAATTTCTATATGCCATTAGTCTGGTATATTTAAGAGAAACATCTGACAATGTGATTACTTAAGTGCTGCTTTTATAACTTATTTCTAAGGATCTTGAAACTTTGATTGTGAAGGTTCTGTATTTGCTTTACAGATGTTGAACTTCAACCTGAAATTCGTAAACAATTCTGGGATTCTCAGCATTGGCCAAAGCATATACTTGTCCGATATACATGGTTTGTGTTATTTTTTTGCAGATATATATATATATATA